ATTAGCCAGCATAGCTAAAACCTTAAATACAGAAACTATTCTACTCTCAGCATTGGGGTGAAATCTACACTACACTATCCATAACCTGTAACTGGTAGCACCAGTTACAGGTTACGGATAGTGTAGTGCAGTGCTGAGAGTAGAATAGTTTCTGTATTTAACGATTTTAAATATTTTTCAAACTTGCAAGTACTAAAAGAAAATGAAAAGATTTTCGATCATGATTTGAGATATATATTAAACATCTTGATAAATTAACAGAAGACTTTAAAGCACGTTTCAAAGACTCGGAGAATAGGCATGTTCCCAAATGGTTTGCTAATCCATTTGATGTAAAAATAGATAATGAAGGGAGTGAACCTGGCTTAGAACATGAACAGAGTGAAATATGTGTAGATCTCAAAGCTAAAGCATTGTTTAAAAATAAAAATCTCAGTGAATTTTGGAGCAATAGCAATATTGCCACTAAATATCCCAAGCTTGGAGCAGAAGCCGAGCCTTTCTTACTCGCATTCCCAACTTCATACATGGTCGAAGCAGGTTTTAGCCATACAAACGCAATTTTGACAAAACAGAGGAACGAACTGAACTTGGAAAACCACGGTGATTTGTGACTAAAACTTTCCAATTTTCAACAGAATATCAATAATCTCACTGCTTCTCTTCAGACACATCCATCCCACTAATATCAACTATTTTGATAAAAAGGTATGTTAACATATTTTTAAGGCATTCAGTAGTAGTCACAAAATGACAGAGGTTTTTTTCATCCAATATAATTTGTTATGTTTTCAAAGATAATTGGGTATTTTACATATTATGACACATACGGTTTAAGAACTATAGGCAAATTTCCATCTATCCATAATTTTGCTATTATTTTTTAAGATTATAAATCAGTGGAAAATATCTCCTTTTTCTGTTAATGTTATTGGGTGGATTTTATAAGATATGGGAACTATAAATTCTTTTTTCGGGTTGTTATGCAGGTCTCCTTATTGCTTAACATCAGAAATGCAAAAATGATTTAATGTTTTTACTAAATACTTAAACTGGGGGGTCGATAAGAAGGCAAATATTCTATAAAGGGGTCGATGGGATAAAAAGTTTGGGGACCCCTATTCTAGAACTATTCATACAGTTTCAAAGACCTTGAAGCTACTGCAAGTTATTTCTATAAGTTAGTTAAAATAAACTAATATTATATGAAAATTAAAACTAGTTGAAGGAATTAATTTTTAATCAATATACATGGAACCAATATCTAGCAAGAAAATATAAAGAGAATGTTTGCTTTCACATAGCATTACATTTTCTTACTAGATACTGGTTCTACATGTAGTGTTTAAAAATTAATTTCTTTGGAAGGCTGAAGAGAACTTAGTATTGGACCAAATGAATTAATATATGCAATCAATTAGCAAAGTAGACAATTGTTTGAAATTTCACAAGAAATTTACTTCACCATATTTTTATCTGATAACAGAAAATTATCTACAATAGAAGTAAAATATAATAGCTAAACATATAAAACTGACTGTCAAATTTCTAAAACACTTGCAGCATACTATAAGAATATGGCAATGAGACATAACAGTCCCTGGGCTTCTAGCCAAAGATTCATGATTTAACATCTTTTAATGGTTCATTTGTTTATAATGAAGTAATAGTATCGGAAGTTTAAAATCACATTTAATGAGAATAATCAATACTAGTAAATGTTAAAATAAATAGATATTTTAGCTCAGCCTCTTGCAATTGTTATTAATTTATCTATTTGATCTGGTTGTTTTCAGTGCTTTAAATATAATATAACCAAACCAAATCAATTTGGATTTGAGAAAAATACCTCAACCTTTCATGCTCCATAATTATTTCATCATTTAACTTCAAGCCTTGATAACTCTGACATGGTATTTACTATTTTATCTTCCCAAGACTTTTGAAGTTACAAACAAATTTTTGAGTATCTAAGTTATACCATTTAGCATAAGAGGCAGTTCTTGAGTGGTTAGAGTTCTGTGGAGTTGTAAACATATATGGTTAAGATAAATAAGTAATAATACTTTAAAGTTTTCACTTTATCTACAGGATTCCCTCAGGGTTAAAGTGACTAGACATCCCAAACTAAGCAAGATAGTTTTAAAATTGGGACAGCTTATTAAAATGTTTTAATATGTTGTCCCAATTCTAAATGTATTGGAGAAAAATTCTAAATGGGCATGCAGAAACTGCATCTTGAGTGACAAACTGCAACGTGTTCTTCTGTCACATTGCAATTTTAAAATTATTCCAAAAAATGTCCCACTTTTGGACTGTGTCATAATTATAGTCAAAAACTGTAAGTCAAAGAAGAATTGAACACAAGTTATAGTGTAAAAATTTTCATATTCAATTGTGCACATGGATTATAAAAGGAAATTAACAGTTTACTTCCAACGTAAACCAAAAATGGTGCTTACATCAACTTTAATGTCTTTCACTAACGTTTTCGAACCTTTTGGTTCTTCTTCAGGTGAAAAAAACAGGCAAACCAATTTACATTCCTTAAAGTTGATGTAAGCATCGTTTTTGGTTTACATTGGAAGTAAGTTTTAGAAGTTACAGTGTGTTGGGGATGTAATATTGAAATTAACAGTTTTTGCTAATTACATTGTTCTGCAAAATAATATATATATTTTGACTTTCAACAAAAATTTTCACTGACTTTCATAGTTTCAATGGTGCTGAATCCAAATTTGGCAACAGAATCAGCCTAACACCGATCACTTTTGAAAGAAATAAGGTTTCATAAAGAAAAATTTCTGTTATATTTATTAGCTAAACACATTGCTAATTGGCTAATTACATACAAATAAATTTATGTTAATTTTATTCATAATTCTATACATTCAAAAACTGTAACACATAATGACGTGTTTTCTTCCCTTTATATTAAACTTCTTTTGTCTTTCACTGTAGTGTACAGCAGTAATCTGCTAACATGTTCTCGCTTCACCTTTCATTATACCAATTTTTCCATTTGAAAAAAAGTTTGATGGAACTGTTCTTCATATTCATCAGAAATAGCTCTTTGGTTTGTGGAAAAAAAATTGTAAATAAAAATGCAGGAAATGCATTTCGAGTATTGTATTGCAACCCAATATTTAATAGAATGTTACAGACTTCTCCAAAATTTCCTCATAGTTGTTAGTTCGTACATTTCCCAAAATATTCTTTCTCACATTTTCGAATGCATCCCCTGTTGTCATTTCTGCCGAGTTAAGTTTTTCCCCAAAACATGAATCCTTCAAAAAGCTGTCTTACTTGGGAACCAATAAAAATTCCCTCCTTTACTTTTGCATCTCTCAGATAAGAAAACTTTCAGGTAAGCAAAACCTTCTCTATCCATACCTTTTGTAAAGTTTTTCATCAAAGCAAGCTCAACACAAAGAGGAGGTATAAGAATTTTAGTTTTCTCTACCAGAGCAGAAAAAGCAATATTCTTCTGACCTTATATGTTTGCAGTGCAACCAACTCACTTTTTTTCAAGTAGCGACTGGTTCTTGCTCGACCGTACAATTTACATAAAAAAAACATCAGAATTTGTGTACCTTCCTCAAAGATCTGCTAGCATTGCAATAACTTTGAGGTCAGCATATACTCGTACATTGTATTTTATCTTTTCCAACATTATTTTCATGTAGTTTGTTTCATGTAAAAAACACGATAACTGGAACAAACGTCTGTTTGTTCCCACCATACAGCAAAACCCCTTTAAAACCAAACTTTGTCACGTTGGTAAAGTCTCCGCTCGGCTGCCAAAGCTCCTCCAATAAATTCGGTATATCATTGCAAAGAACAGGATCGTCCTCTGTCAAAAACATTTTACATTTCCTGATTCCCTTTGTCTGTAACAAGATGCATTAACTTCTTTCTTCAAAAGTTTCCACTGCCAAACACATAATGCAAAAAGTTAAGCCTTTCTTTTCAAAAGATCCAAATCACGAATCGGATCGTTCGACCAAGACCGAGCAACAAGCCGTGGCTCTTCCGTGGGACTCCACAACAGGCAGTCGTCGTCACCCGACCGTCATTTCGACGAGGTGTCTTCCAAACTTCTGCAAAATTCGTAAATGAGGCCGGTACTGGCATCAATTCGTCACGGACCACAGGTCAAAGTGCAAACGAATGGCCAGAATATCGTAACTCACTTTTCCATTTTGACACAAAACCTTTGATGTCGGTCATGCAAAAGTAACAATCGTCGACACGATTCTTAGGTTTCCGCCAGACCATATGGACGGCAAAAGGTCTCGATTTCCGTACGCCCTCCAACCAAGCGTCCACTATCCAAAATACAGCATATTTTAGCAGCTAGGGTTTTATAAATTATATACTTGGATTAGATGTCACGCCAACAGTTGTGTTAATTCAATTAGAAACTTCAGACTAGGAGGCATTAAATAGAATTAAAAGGAATATTTTAATCTTGTAAGTGCTTTCAACGTAAATATATACATCGTCCTCAGGCAATTCAAAATCGAAAAGAGAATTTGAAGAGTACTATAATTCTATTTAACGTCTCCTAGTCTGAAGTTTTTAATTGAATTAAGCTAGGGTTTTATCTTGATCTCCCACCTTACAATCAAAATAACACCCCATTATACCCCGTTCGCACCGAGCATTTCAATCTAGATTGTGATCAAGGTCGGCAACTATGCCGTGGTGCGATCTCTCTCGACCGTTTCAATCTTGACTGAAATGAGGTTCAATCACGATCGACTCAAGAGAGTTCTGAGAGATCCCACAATCCCACATGCATGAGAAAATACAAGATGGCTGTAGAACACATGTCAGGTTATCAACAGAGAAATTAAAAAATATATTTGGAGAAAGACGACAACATCTGTCTCTCCAAATATATTTATATTATTAGATATATTATTAGATATATGGCAAGAAAATGTATTTATTTCTAACTAAAACTTCCATTTTGTTTGTTGATGTTCATGACTTACCGCATAATGTCAGTTTTATCATCGCATATAATAGCCGTGTTCTTCTCAAGTGGACTGCCTGTGCAAACAGTTCGACATTCAACTGGCAACAGTTACAATCGAGATTACGGATAAATTGAGATAGAAGTGAGTCGTGGATTGTGTGCGAACGTAGTATAACACAGGTACACTTTCTTCACTAGAGACATCGACAATTTTTTTTGCACTTTCAAAGTCACTTCTTCACAAACGTAGCAGAAACAACCCAGCTGGTGTTGCATGCAAGACAGATCAAATCAGAGAGAGAGAGAGAATCCGAGTCCTACACAGAGTTCCTCCGGTCTCTGCCGGATCTTGTGTAGCCGACAGTTTACGGTTTCACGCCAGACGTGTGGGCAAACAAAGCCACCCGGCACCTGCGGTCTACCAAGATGCAGCACCCAACCGAGAGTCCTTTTGTAACGATTCCAGACATCATGCAAATATAATTTCTCTGGTTTTATATTTTATTTAAATGGTAACAAAAAGTTTGTCTAAAATAAGCATTTTTCTGCAAAATATTGGTATTTCTTTTTTAAAAAACTGCGGGCAACGGAAGGTTTCGGGCTTCGGATTCACATTTGGCACACCACAATACGTAGAAAAACAAATTACGTTTTCTTTTGCAAGAGGATTTCGACGCAGAGTGGCAATATCCGAGTTAAATAAATTCTTTAACGATTAACCATTCGTCGTACGCAGATAAGTAAAATGTCCGTCGGTCGTTCACGTCGTCCGTCGTCAACGTCGGAAAATGCCCGCCGGTTCGACCCTGTGACCGAGCACCATCCGACGACGTCGCCCTTAGAGTTTTTGGCAATTTACCCGCGGCCACCAAATTCGCCGACCTTCGGAGAGGGATGGGAGAAAGACCGACCGACGAGCATCCGCAAACAGCCCGCAGCAGACAGATTTGCCTTCCGAGAGGTTTAACCTAAATATTTAGAGGTCGCTTCCGGTCTAGCGGCGAATCCAAAGGCAAGTTATATTTTTAAAGTATCTTTAGAGGTTTGTAACCAAGAAAAATTTCTGTATTTCTGTATTAAAACTTTCGTCGTAAATCAATAGAATTCAAAACGAAAGTTAAACTCGAAGGGAGAAGGTGGCCGTCTCATTAAGTCCGGCGTACGCATTCCGTCACCTCTCCGTCCAGCGCACATTCGAATTAAGAAAATAAGCGACATGGAAATCGGAATGTACGGAAAGTCGCGACCATTTCGATCGTCGTCGTCGAAGAACGACGACGGTGCACCGGTGGGTGACAAATGTTATTTACGGCAGAAGTCGGTGTCCCAATACGAGCGTGCGCCAATTATTTGCCAATGCGAAGGAAACTGTTCATACGACGCACGGTTTCGGTAAGTACCGAAACGTACTCTCTTTTTAAGGATTTGGGTTAACCGTGCTCTTCCGGTACCTTCCCCGTTCCGCACGTACGCCGACGAAATTAATTAAGGTAACGGTCTTCCGGTAAACACCGTCGTTAAATGCGGGCGCAGACATTCCCACGCAACATAAAACGGCACGAACGCGAGTGGGCGGTCGGCGACATCTGCCGAGCGAAACGGGAACTACGGAAATAGTCGACGGACCGCATTCGCCTATTAAACAGACGGAAAAAGAGAGATACTCACCCACGTGCACGGCCGAAAAGACGAAAGAAACACGGCCGCCGAGACGAAGACGGCGCCACCGGGCCCGACCTTCGACCGGCGCGCCACCCCGAGTTGCCAACTGCGAAATATACGGAGAAAACGGAAGCGCCGGGCGGAAGGAAACGGATGCGACCTACCGTCGACAAAGACCAAACGAGGTTTTTTCGCTCCCACGACGAAACCTCCGCCTCCCTCCGTCTAAAACTAAGATTTGAAACGGCCGCGTTTTCTTTGGCGGTCCGTAAATCGCCGGTTGCGGGTGACGATGCGTTTATCACAGGATCCGTCCGGAGAGAATCCCACCGCGAGTCCGGGGTGGAATCCGAGCGGAATTTATGCGTATTCTTCGCGCCGCGGCTATTCTGTTAGCGGGACGAAAACGGCTCCGAATTTGCCGGAAAATATCTTCGGTCGGCCAGAGTAAAGGTCGGGCCAACTAAATTACGTCGGTCCGTCGTTGGTGGTAAATCATTTCGAATCTCACCAATCGTTACACCCGGAACCCGTGTAAATTGCAGGGAAAGCGATCGCCTCCGGAAACCGGCGAAAAAAATCGTTCTTTAAAGAAATTTATAATTTACAAATATTTCGTTACCGGTCGTCGACGTCCAGGGGGCGCCGCGGGAAGAAGCGACCTCCGACGGTCGATTATCGCGGAGGGATCGGGATAGTAGGAAAGCGAAAGAAGAATGAGGCACCCCATGTTCTGGGCTCGAACCGTTATGGTGAAGGACGGAAAGGTGGAAGAGGCCATGAGGCTTCTGAACAGGTCGGCGATTTCATTTCTTAGACAACGGTCATCCCACGCACGCTAAGCCTATCGCGTGTTTAAAATTACGGTGGTTTATCGGCCGAGGGAAAGGGTGAATTTTGTCTGGCATTTTTTGGAAAAATATATTACATTCTGTTAGGTTAATACTCGTCGATCGGACGATTATAAGCAAATTTGGGCTATTAAGCGTTTTCGTCACGGCTACAAACGTAATTGTTTTAGTCTGTGTGGAACAGCTATATTCTTCGGTGTATGTGTATTTGAGTTTGGATAACGGGACGATCGCCTTTTAATCGTCCCGTTTCTGGCACTAGGGGATACGGCTATTTGAAAGGTTTTCTTCCAAATAAATATTCGATCCTAGACTAATTTGACTAGAACATTTCCGAAAGAACAAAAAATTGTAGGAATACGTACCGAGTATGAACCGTTCGAACACCCCATTGCCAAAGCTTGTTTTCGTCGCGGAGCGGCACATCGGACGGCGGACGCGTCACGTGACATTTGTCGGCGCTATTCGGTCACGTGACTACTCGTCTCCGACGTGTTCCCCGATAACTTATTCTTTTAGCGAAGAATTCGCTGAACTTTGGAGACATCATTAATACACATATTAAACATCATTCCATTTTAAATAACCTATGATAATAACGATATATCACTAATAATTGTGCTGCTTTTAAATAGTCGAATCTCTTTCGTGTCTTAAACAAAATTGAATTATATTTATTTCTATTAGACATCTTACGTTGCATCTAACTAATAAGTATCATCATAATATGTATATCATGATAGAATTATTGTCGTAGCCAGCGGTTTTACCTTTTTCGCTTCGTATAGTCAATAATAATAGTAAGTCGCTTCTAATTACAATAAAAATACTATAGTATATTATGATCTATCGCGTGATGACTCCAAAGTTGGGCGAATTTTTCGCAAAAAGAATAAGTTATCGGGGAACACGTCAGAGATAGCACCGACAAATGTCACGTGTTCTAGTCAAATTAGTCTAGAATCGAATAATTTCAAACATCCGTACTCCCTAAACTGCACAAATGTCCCGTTTCTTATTTGTGAGATTTTTCGCATTTCTCGGTAGTACGGTGGCAACTAGCAAAACAGCCGTAGTTTACACCGGCGTGGTGCGGTCGGTAAATAAGTAGTCCGACTACGACCCGTAGGACCTCGGAACTTTCCCTTTTTTAAAATGTCGGACTACGATTCATTTCGTAAGAAAGGCATCACCGGGCATCCGAATATTTTTATCTAAAATTTTTTAATGAAAAGTTATATTAAAATTTATGGCGAGAATAAACGAATGGATAGGACAAATTTTCCTCGCAAAAGCTTTCCAGTGTATAAAGAAACGGCCAAAAGAATTCCAATTTTATCGCTCAATTACAAAAATTTTGTTTAAATTTATTGATTAAAACAAATTAAATATAATAAAATGGAAAAATTATCAATTTAGTGTCAACGGGTGACCGGTTCAAACTTCGTTATTCTCCGGGAAATATCACGTCCGCAGACTCCAAAAATACTAGCCAATCGACAGCTTTATTTTATCCAGATGTATTTCGGAAATTACAATATTTTCCTCCTCGATTGGTCGAGCTAAACGAGGCGCAAACATCTTTTCGACACACTGGCCAACCGTTTTGACTATTTTCGTATTAAAATCACTGTTGGAATGTTGGCTAACGAATGAAAGCGATACAGTATTGAGAAGGATTTTATAATACTGTTAACGAAAAGAACGGGGGAAATAATTTTATTGAGAAAATAATCGAAACGATTGGAATATCGAAAAATGTGTGTTTGCGCCTTGTCTCGCTTGTATGGAAGAAAAAACCTACCGAGGAGGAAAATATTGTAATTTCCGAAAAACATCCGGATAAAATAAAGCTAGTATTTTTGGAGTCCTCTCCCTCTTTTAGTTTCTCGCAGTCAGATTCTGATCTTGTTTTTTTTTTTAATCTTTTCATTGTTTTTCTGTTAAATGCTTTAAGACCAAATAATGTTATAGAAGCAGTAATAAAAATTCTGTAGCGACTTGCTTAAATTTCCCCGGCAGTATTTGGTGGCGACATCTGTCATCATATTTTATTATAAAAACTTTTTATGTTTGTAAGTATAAGGCCAGGATCACACATGCGTAAAATTGTGTGGCAGAAAACAATCAGAAAGCTTTCAATTCAGTTTCTGTTTTACGCTTTTATGCCAGAACACACATACGTAAAAATTCTGGCCGAATAGGAAACGCCACTGCCACCAACAGTGCTAATTTTATTAATTTTTTCCTCTCATATAGGCTATCTATCCCTTTGTACCTTCCATTTTTTCTCCACTTCCTCCGCTATAATATAGAAAATTTAAATGAATAGACTCGCATTCCGAATTCAAATAAAGAACGTGTGATTTAAATACTAGGCCTATATATCGATCCTACTAGACCCAAGGTCTTAGATTTATAAGGTTGCCTCATACAGCCGATTTAGCCACTTCCTGCCAGATTCCGGATATACGTCATCCGTAGTCGAGCTCAAGGTCTAGCGACTGCTTCACTACTGTAAGCGAGGGAAGGAAATTTTGGAATTTAACTATTTTTTTTTTAATTTGTCGAGCGTTTTTAGACTCATAATCTTCGAAGGTAAATATATCTATACTTATTGCTATTATTAAACATAATTATGTTGATAATTATATCGATAAAAATTGTTCGGAAGTAACAAAAGTGTTCCTAGAACAGTTTGATATTCTGTTGTAGNATTTTAACTTCAACTTTACACGTAAAAATTACGAAGATTTGCTCAATATTCCGGATTTTTCTTATTTATAATCAATTTTTATTTAATTAAGTAAGTATCGTAATTAATAAAATATTAGCGTGTAATTAAAGCTACGAGCCTCTGATCGGTAACGTTTCTACCATAAGGACATAGTAAGATGTTTCGTTTTCGACTACGAGTGACGTCAAATAAGCAACCAATGAGAAGCGTTTCTTCTCTATGAGGCAACCTGATAATCTAAGACCTTGTACTAGACCTACCTGTTATTTGAAATTTGGCACCTATAGCCCAGTAGCGTAGCGTAGTGGGGGCGGCACTTTTTAGGGCGCGGCAAAATTACGTTTTAGGGAGCGGCAAAATTTCACAATAAATAAATCTTGTAAGAATTTGAACCATTTTATTTCATATTGTCATCCACCTACGACTCGGACCGATTGAAATGAGCACGGAATAGTGTTACCATCCATCCGGATAGTTCGGGAATCGACTCGCCGTCCGGGGATATCGTGCGCAACCTGTTGACGTTTCATTTTTTTTTTATTTTTCCTTTTCTGCTTGTACGATTTATTCGTATTATATACACCTCCAATATCCGATACAGCTAGGTCACTCGCGTTACTCCTATCAAAGTCTCACTAGTCCCTAACTGTAACTGATTTAGAACCAGCATGCACTGCACATTATTCTTCGCATTGCAAAATGACATACGCATGCGTCAGGAACTTCTGTTCGAACAAACCTCACCCGTCGTCCGGGTCGGCGATTTTAATAAGGTGGCGACTAGGGATTGCAATTGCTGGATCCCTCATCCAGCAATCCAGCTGGATCCAGCACATTTTTCGGTTTGTTGGATCCAGCACCAGGTGCTGGATCCAGCGCTGCGGATCCGCAAATACTCAATTAACTTTCTAAATAATGTTTCAAAGATCTACGTTGTTGGCCTTGCTGCTTTGCTACGTGCGCTATCGCTTGGCGGCGAGAGCGACATTGCCGTTCAGTGCGGCACGTGCTACACCCCCTCTCTACACCGCACCGCCCGTCCTTTTACCTCTGCTGATCTAATTGCCAGTTGACTTTCCGCTCTCGCTAAATAAAGTGTCTTCGCGCTAAATAAAATAAGTAATTCCTATCCTAGTCCTGGTGCATAATTCTAATTTACGGTCGGTTGAGACGTCAATGAATCACGTGACAGAACGATTGCAGTTTAAACTGGCCGTAGAAGCTCTGCAGAACGGGTCGAGTTTGATAACTGCTGACACAACCCTGAAATTTGTCTTAAACAAACTAAAAAGCCAGGACACAATCTTGAGTGCCAACCTTTCCGAGGCACTCCATAAAAGAATCAGAGAAGGCGTCTTACCGAGGTCACAGGGATGCTGATTTACATACACAACCCGAAGAAGTATGACCAAAAAGTTAGAAAGCTTTATCTTTCACATGCCGAATAAAATGTAATGCGCCAGGAGATGAAAAATATGCTGAATCGTGTAAATACATATGTAGTGGAACCAGCAGCAATGGCAGAGGATATTACGGAGGTGGAAAACGATGATCCAGATAACCCGGATTCCCTGAATTTCACATTGGAATAAGAATTAGAGATCCAACTAAAGCGTGAGAAAGAAAACTTCATGAAACGGAAAGAAACTAGTACTGAGAAGGATTGTGATAAGTTATTAAAAAAGGAAATGGCTGTTTATGAAAGTGGGGGAGTCAGAGGTGAAAACTTATCTTTGATTTATCATTATTTGATGACATTGAAACCAACTAGCGTAGAGGCAGAAAAGGCCTTATATAGAGCGGGATACATATGCCGTTCATTAAGAAGTAGGTTGGGAGCCAACACCATCAATACCATTTGTTTCTTGAAATGCTACTTTTAGAAAAGTCAAAAAATAACACAAGTGATTGATTTAATTTTATTTAATCCTTTAAAATACTTTATTCAAGACAAGACTAATATTTTATAACTTCTACTCTAATTCTATTAAGTAAGAGTTTTTAACTTTTATTCTATAAGTGGTTAGTGGCTAGGCTAGGCAATTTTATTGTGAAAATTAGTGAGAAACTGAGACTATCTAGTTAATTAAATTAATGAGTATCAGTATCTTAAATATATGATGATATAAATGTATATCATTCATGATTGTGATAATAATAACTAACTACTAGACTACTACTAATTAATTAAATTAATTACTCACTACTTTACTAACACTAATAATTAAATTACTTATAAATAACTACAAACTGATATGTAGAGCCTATATAAGAAAACTGGTAAGTCTGATAGCCACTTAGCCACTGATTATCCGTCTTTACATTATTATAATATAATATATTAATATAAATTAATTAGTAGAATAACCTTTGCTATTATTTAACTTAAAGTTTATATTATAATTATAATCTAACTAAACATTGAAAGTTAATTATCTCTATCTCAAGTGTTAAACCGAACCAAAGTTTACTATTTAAATGTGTAAGAAGTTTTACTGATTTATAGTGACCAGTCTAAATAATAAAAGTTTCTTAATTAAGTGTTTTAAAAAAATGTTTTATTTCTTTAAAAATACCATAAATTTTGGATAGATAACACTTTATTGCACCAAAAAACATCCACTTATCATTCCTGCTGGATCCAGCTGGAATGATGTTGGTCCAGCAAAAATCCTACTGGATTAAAAACGCTGCTGGATTGCAATCCCTAGTGGCGACACTAGCACGGAATTTTTCATTATTTATTTTGTGACGAAACTGAATTTTAGTCTTTTAAATTGAGATACCTAAATAACAAGGGGCGAAATTGTCCTCCGCCCCGGGCGGTTGACACCACGCTACGCCACTGCCATAGCCATCCATAAACGTTCTTTAAATACAGTGTCTTTATACGTGACACCGATGTGGTCGAACGGATTCGATAACCTCCTAACTCATTTATTTTCCGTTTTTTCGAGATCGTCACAATTTTAGGGTTCCTCATTGTCGCCATTGTTAGAATAAAAACCGCGTGTCTACTTCGACGTCACAAAAAGACTTCTCTTTATTGGAGGAATTTTAGCGTAAAAATTTTACGTGCGTAAAAAGTAGAGACACGCTCTACTCTTTTTTCAGTTATGTTTCAGCCAAAATTTCAGAAAAATTTTTACGCTTTCTGTTTTCTGCTAGATTTTACGCCGAATTTTACGCATGTGTGTTCCTGGCCTTAATGGATGGCTATAGGTGCCAAATTTCAAATAACAGGTAGGTCTAGTAGGATCGATATATAGGCCTAGTATTTAGATCGCACGTTCTACATTTGAATTCGGAATGCGAGTCTATTCATTTAAATTTTCTATATTATAGCGGAGGAAGTGGAGAAAAAATGGAAGGTACAAAGGGATAGATAGCCTATATGAGAGGAAAAAATTAATAAAGTTAGCACTGTTGGTGGCAGTGGAGTTTCCTATTCGGCCGGAATTTTTACGTATGTGTGTTCTGGCATAAAAGCGTAAAACAGAAACTGAATTGAAAGCTGATTTCTGATTCAGTTTTCTGCCACACAATATTACGCATGTGTGTTCCTGTCCTAAAACGGCAAAAGCTTCATTTTGAGGCTAGGGACAGGTTTTATTTTTTAAAAAAATTGTAATAACGAGTAAAATAGTCAGTAAGTCCGACCCTACTGAAGATAAGGGGAGAAGACCCCTTACCCCGCCGTGGGCACGTAATCGCGGTTTTTTGCTTACGATATAAATACGTCGTATGGGACTACATACCGTGTGTTACGTTGGCGTGAATTTCCGGTCTACAAATCAATTCCCTAGACCGGAAACTTTCCGAACTCGATGGTTAAAAAATTACCTACGGGGTTAAAAATTAGTCCTACGGGTTACATGGGCAAGAATTGGTGTGGTTAATTTGCGCGCCGTAGACAGCTTACGAGAGGAGCTAACGGATCGATATTCACCGGCCGCGTTTATTTATTATTAGTAACCGCGTTAGCAAAAACGGAAAGGTGGCGGAATCCTCCGAGAGGTGACCCGGTTTGGAATTTCCGGAAATAACCGGCCTTCCCCGTACGCGACGAAGAAACGTCGGTGGCGCGTGACGTAACTTTAATATCGACGCTACTCGGCGGCAGTAATTCCGTGGGGCGAATTATTCCCCGTATTAATTTTAAGGGCGGTTATTTCCATGCGCCACTTTCCATAGAACTAACTGGCGGCGAGGAAACGCGAAAATTCCGAAAGATATTTCGGGGGAGTCTTCCGGGATCGGAAGGAGTGCGGTTACGGAATATTCTTGGACGAATCCCCGAAATTCCGGTTGAGTTTAGATTCCGGAGGCAGGGGAGGAAGAGGGAAAAGACGTCCGTACTAATTACCATCTTGTGGGATTTTCAGGATTCTGGGACAGGAGGGAATCTTCGACATCTACAGAAGAACACGTTACTACGAGAAACCCTTCCAGACCAGAAGAAGAGTCAACTTCGAGATCTGCAAGGCCATCTACAACGAGGACATGGCCAACAAGATCGCCTTCACTCTCAGAACCAACAGGACCGATCCCTGGCCCGGACGCTAGTTGCTGTCCGCCGAAAAATTAATTCGAGTGTAAAGTCAGCCGACGGCCGGGTTCTTCCGAAAATTTACAAACGCCGCATTTTGTAGTTGTCGACAAAAGAATTTTTAATGTCGTTTTTCCTTTAACAACGGGACTCTTAGTCGACCGCGTTTTTCGGTTACAGCCGAAATATACAACTACTGTTTGTATTTTTCCTACTTTAGTTTGAAAATAAAGCGCTGTCATCTGACTTACTGTGAAAAATTTCGCCTTATAAATGAATCTTTTTCCCGAACTGTATATTAGTCTTCTTGGAGAGTTTGTCCGCACTCCGTGACGAGGTGCTTGAGAAGGAGCGAGGGAAATCTTTAATTTAGCCTAAGAAAACGCCGTGGAAAAAAAGAAGTCGAGCCACGGGTGAGGGAACTTTTCCCAGTGTTGGCAGTTTTATTTTTAAAATAAAATTTATATTATTCATCGCAATAAATAAAGTTGTCTGTGGCTCCGTCCGTAAACTTTTTATATTACTAAGTAGCTTGTTACGTCCAGTCTTACGAATGGTAAATTTCAAAAACGTACGTAGTAAAACCCATTTTAAGAACAATTTCGGAATTTCTACGACGTACGAGGGAGTAGGTTGTGGTAAATGGCGAGTTGTATAGAAAAATTATTAGACTTAAGAAAGTAGCATTTACAAATGAAAAACCCGAGTTGTTAGATGTGGAAATACTTATATACTTTTGCGGTGATTTTTCACTGGATATACGTGAGTATTCTGTGCTACCACGAGTCTACTTTGCGCAATAATTAACTAAATATTTTTTTATGATATTCCTTTTTGTATGAATTACGGGTGAATGCCATCGATTAATCCCTCGATGCTACCGCCTATTTTAAAATCGCGTTAATCAACTACACTGCTATCTCGATACTCGACCGAACAATATCCGTCCGCTAGAACAAACTTTCGGTTAACGACCGGTGGACCTATTCAAAGTTTGCATCAATCTAGCGGTATGCTGCCGGAAGTGGCGCGACTATTGGCGTTTCGAGAGAACAAACGTTAACTGCCGGGATGTCCAGAAAGATAAAAAGGCGAATGATGCGGGCTTCCACGTTTTTGAACTTATTTAACGAGAACGGCATAATGAAAAATGAATATTTCGAGCAGAGAAACAGGAACTAAGACTTCAATTTCCGTAGGAGTTATAAATAACTAAATCAAACCTAAGATTATACTTTAACAACTGAAATTATGTGGTGTCTTACGCAAATATACTAGTGTATTAAAATGTTCTATTAACGTACTAACCGAATTTTAATTTCTTTGAGATACATTCGTCGACAAATAAATTCAAAATTGTCAACGCAAAATGGAGCGCTATGAGTCTCGTATTGTCTGCCATGTTGTTGGCCGGATGTTGCCCCAGATTTTGAGTACCGCTAATGTTTTAATTTTGTCGTATGTAGAAATGTTGTCCGTGATAAAAATGGGTAACAAATTAAAAAAACAACACGAAACTAACTGCCGACTTTCGTCAGACAAAATTATACTCCATCCAGTTTGTTTCTTTCACTTAATGCGTGTGGGTGACAACATTTATTGACAGTTCTCGAGTTGTTTGTTATTCGTCGACTTCTAATAACTTAGTCCCGAATTTTCTCTTCTTCGATAGCTTTTTGGCGTTCCGTACGTTTTCTATCCTTTAAAAAATTTCCCGAAGGAAACTTTGAAAACCATATTTGACATGTCCGACTTTCCCTTACACTACGAGATTTTTACTGTAGATCGTTGTATCCTTTACGAAACTTAAAAAGCACGCGTAATATGCCAATGTGCATTTTATCTGCAGACATTTCTATTTTATTTTACGCAAACAAAATGTGAAGTTTTATCTTCCAAAGGAGGTATTGGATGGACGTCGATTTGTAACATCTTATTTAAGGTTAGATTGAAAACTAAAACAAATCTTAAAATTTTATTAATAAAAATTTAAGATTTGTAAATAAACTATCTTATTTACAAATCTTTTCAAAATAGTTTGACCGGGCCCTAGACATTTGTCTATGGGATGATCCGGCCCTGCCAAGCACTGTTGGATATCTTAGAAATTACTCCGGCCTTTTCTAACCTACATAACTCTGCTTCAACTTTATCCCTCGGGAGAAAAGGAACTGTCTTTGGTTTAAGAAAAATAGCACGTGCGTCTAGTTTTAAGGTTAAATGAAGAAATATTGATTTAGAACATCCGGCAGTGGCGTGCCGTGACATTTGACCATAGGGAAGCCGACTTCCAGGGGCAATCAGTTAATTCTTTCTTTAAATGTATTTTTAATAGATTATTTATCCGACGTAGTTAATAAATAAACAAGTTCAATATAATTACCTCCGTTATTAGTTTCAATAGGTTCCCTATGCCCTCTAAATGCCAATTCTCGCTTCGATAAAAACGTATAACATCTATTTAATTAGATATAATATATCTATTAACCGTAACTATCTCGTTATAATTTTCAATATTTATTTTATATTATTTACTAACGTTAAATTCTATTCCGCTTCGATTTCCAAATTGCTTCAAATACGAAAAAATCGACGATTTTTCGTGTCTTTCGCCAGCTAAATCGTCAAAGCCATTCTTATTTCACGCACTAATTTCATTGGAAAATAGTAGGCAAAGCCAACAAAACGATTTTTGCATTTTTATGCATTTACAGAGCCATTATATCGCGAAAATGTCCAACAATTTTTTTTATCGAAGCGTTTATATTTAACTTAGGCATTGGCCTTTCTCTTTTAATAATGTTTTCTTTTTCGTTATACGATCTCGAGCCAAAACTTTTCAAAAATAAATTTTCAATATTGCTATTACATTCCGAATCGCTAGCCACGATATAAGGGCTAAAATTAAAAATAAAATTATAAAAACTTACTTGGTGAAATAAAATGTGTGGTGGATGTACTGTACATACCCGGTACAAAACCTTCAATTGTATGAATATACTTTTAAATATAACTTTGTAATGAAACGTACATAAAAGTAACATAAAACATTCTGTACTCTTTAAATCTTAACCACTATATGTTAAACTTAATAGATTGTCCGTCGTTTGTTTTCTAATTCGTTTTAGGACCGGGTGTTGTCCACGGAAATTTCCAAAACTTACAACTTTTCGGTCACTCTCGTCGAACTGGAAAAATTTCTGTCTTTATTACATCTAATATTTTGAAGTAATCGGTCCCACTGAACTCGGCTAGAGATTGGTTCGGTTAGACTTTTGTTTAAGTAAAATTTCGGCTCTCTCGTCGGGGTTTTGTTTATGTCCCCAATTCCCTAATCGCTTAATTATTTAACTACTTCTTAAGTAGAAGTAAGTCGAAACCAATTACTTTGTACTCGAATATTTGTAGTCGCGGGAAAAAAGTGGAAAGAAATTTTTACGACAAACGGACACGTAAATCGTAAATTTAAGGAAAATAAATTCTAGAGCTTTTTCTGTACCTCGTGCATCTCTCTCCTTCACTAAATTTAGTCGTAAATTATGCTACCAAAGTAACGGTTAATTTTTTTAACATTACACAAGAATTGTACGCGTTTTTTTCTACGTCCCCTTAAAGATGGGATGTACGAAATCGTAATATCACCGGTTTAACATCGAAATCCGCGAGTAATATAAAATCGGAGAGCGGAATAAATATATCAAATATTTTAACGGATTTTTTAAAACTCCTGTCAACTATACGGAACTATCGTAAAAACATACCAGTAAATTCATATCGATTGGGTTAAGTTATAAATCTACTCATGTTCACGTAGTCGGGCGAGGGCGGCCAAATATCTAGCGAGCAGGCGTCTAACAGCCCGGAACCGGTCCTGGATAGAATTGGAAGCGTTATACGTGTGTAGCTTCCACCCGAGGTCCTAGGCTTCCACCAGGTGAGATTGGTGCTCTGTAAAGCGCGTGCGCAAATCTGGCTGTTTGGAAGCTGACAATACAGCGCTTCCACTCCGCCAATAATATTCGAATATACAATAGCGATCTTATCTTTTTTTCACGTGTAGTATAGAAATTTGTAATAAGATACATAATGCGGTTATAATAAAATATTGTGCGATTATTTTCGTATAATTAAAATTAATGTGTATTTATTTTTTAGAAAATACAAGGGAAGCGGCGCTTCCACCGCTTCTAATGGCGGCACGCCACTGATAACAACCCAACCGATAAGAATTTACTGGTATGTTTTTACCATAGTTCCGTATAGTTGACGGGAGTTTTAAAAAAATTCATAAAAATATTTGATATTTTTATTCCGTTCTCCCATTTTATATTAAGGATTTCGATGTTAAACCGGTGATATTACGATTTCGTACGTCCCATCTCTAAGGGGACCTAGAAAAAACGTGTACAATTCTTGTACAACGTTAAAAAATAAACTGTTACTTTGGCGGCATCATTTATAATAAAATTTAACGAACGAGAGAGATGCGCCAGGTACAGAAAAAGCTCTAGAATTTATTTTCCTTAAATTTACGGTTTACGTATCCGTTTGTCGTAAAAATTTGTCTTTCCACTTTTTTCTCGAGACTACAAATATTCGAGTACGAAGTAACCGGTTTCGACCTATTTCTACTTAAGAAGAGTTAAACAATTAAGCGATTAGGGAATTGGGGACGTAAATAAAACCCTGCCGAAAGAGCCGGAATTTTACTTAAACAAAAGCCTAACCGAACCAATCTCTATCCGAGTACGGTTGGGACTGATTTCTTCGTAATATTAGACGTAATAAAGACAGAAAATTTTCTACTTCGACGAGAGCGACCGAAAAGCTGTAAATTTTGGAAATCTCCGTGGACATCTGGTCTTATGACGAATTAGTTAGAAAATATATGACTATTACGTTTAACAAATTTATATTTTCACAGTTATAGTGAGAAACGTTTAAAATTTACAACAACCCCGTCACGTCCTTCGAGATATACTAGTGATGGGACAAAAGAGGAATTTGACATTGACCGGTATCGGCACCCTCGGGATTTGGCACGCACCGCGCACCTACCAAGACCGTCTCCGATTCCATCCACGAGCCACTGGTAGGGAGCCATTTTAACTAAGTGGATCGTTTTAATATCTAAAAAGTAAAGAATATTTTATATTATTTTTATGTACGTTTCTTCACAAANCGTCTCCGATTCCACGAATCACTGATAGGGAGCACTTTTAACTAAGTGGATTGTTTTAATATTTAAAAAGTAAAGAAT